ATCAATTTCAGTTCACAGTTGGTCATGGTGGAGGGACTGGGAGTCAAAGGGAGCACATAGACAAGTCTAGTACCTGCTAACGCTAACTGATGGAGTAAATAAATGGGAGAGTGATCCAACATGGGAAGTGAGATACTCAGCAGACTCATAGAATGGCAGATGTCCTAAATAGCACTCTGGCCTCAGAATCAGCCCTAAAGGCATTCGGATCTGGCTGAAAAGCCCATGAGAGTATTTCAGGCATGGAAAGCCAAGACACTCTGGCAAAAAGATCTCTGTGAGTGAGATCCCAGTGGAAAGAACAGGTCATCAAAGAAGGAGGTACCTTTCTCTGAAGGGAGGAGAGAACCTCCACTTTGACTATGACCATGTCTAAACAAGATAAGAGTCGGAGAACTCAAGGGGCTTCCATAGCCTTGGAAACTCATGACTGGTGCATAGGGAGATTACTGATGCCATAGACAGGAGTGTCAATTGGTAAAGTCAACAACAGGAGTCACTGTGCACTTACTCCTCATGTAGGATCTCTATCCTTAATGTGCTGTGCATTGAGATTTAATGCTATAACGAGTACTCAAACAATATATTTCACTTTGTGTTTCTATGGGGGTGCAAACTGTTGAAATCCTTACTTAATGCATACTAAACTGATCCTCTGTAAAAAAAAAAAAAAATTATCAATTCCCAACTTGACTCTCACTGGGATTAAACATGACAATAGGTCTGCTCTGATTTCATCATCATTTAAAAAAATCATCTATTATTTTTCACTTTATGTTTCTGTGTGGGAGCAAACTGTTGAAATCCATACTTAATGTATACTAAGCTGATCTTCTGTATATAGATAATCGAAAATGAATCTTGATGTGAATGGAAGGGGAGTGGGAGTGGGAAAGGGGAGGGTTGTGGGTGGGAAGGACGGTATGGGGGGGAAGCCATTGTAATCCATAAGTCGTACTTTGGAAATTTATATTCATTAAATAAAAGTTAAAAAAAAAAAAGACAGCAGGGGCGGACACAGTGCAGACTCACATAGGACCCTCGCAGAGCCACAGAGAGAAGCAAACTTACCCAGACCCTTTGCAGGGTGGATGAGACAGACAGCCATCCTCAGTATCCGCTCTCCCCTTCTGCTACAGAATTCCCCACTTTTAGCTGAGCCCCAAATCTCCCAAACTCAACATCACATCTCCCAGATTCCCTTGCCTCTCAGTGCGACCCAGGGACTGAGTTCCACCGAAGAGGTTGTGAGTGAAGTAGTACCTTTGCACAACCATAGGGGGCACCACTCACAGTGAAGAAGCCTCAGACGGAAGGGGTGTGTTCTTCCTGGGCTCTGGGGACAGTGAATGCATGAACAGACAATGGACAGACCACAGGGCAATGGAACTCTGACCCCCGACCCCTGCAGCACCTGGCCAGAACAGCCAGGGGTCCCTCAATGACTAGCAGCTTCCCCATTGCTCCCAGCTCAACAAAGAAAGTCAAGCAGACCCCAAACCAACTGCAGAAGAAGCCCCACTTCTAATTAGCCTGGCACCAGCTTCCCTGCGCCAATGATCTCCTATCAGGGCACAGCAGAAGCCTTCTCTCTTCTCCACTACAGAGCTTTCCCACTCTTCTGCCTGCCTTTGAGCCTCTGCCAAGCACCAGACTCCCTGCCCTTGCAAGCGCTGAATCAATAGCCCTGCTTGTTCTCCTTTGGGTGGTCTCCATTTATTTCGACACTCCCTTCCTGCTGAGTGCAAGGCAGACGTGGGGTGAACCATCTGGAATTGCGAGCAGGAGAGAGCGAGGGTTCGTGTCTCTGGTGTCCCACCCTGGCTGTCAGTCGGAGAGACACACTTTGGTCTTCCACGGCATTGCTGCTTGGGGATTCTGCTTCAGCAATCTAAACACACACACACGCACACACACACACACACACCCCGAGGAGCCTCTTCAACTCAGATTGAATAGTCAAACTTCATCTATTTCAACTGTGCTAATTTGGATCCTGTGCAAGTCTGCCTTGGGCAGCCTGGGTGAAAGGGGCCATTTGCACTGGATTAAAAACCAGAGTTTGCTGAGCTTGTACTCCAGGTTTCACTCGCTTAAATCGGAATGTGGAAGGTACTTCAGCATCTTTCATTTGCATAGAATGATTAATACACTAATTACAAAAGACTCATACCTATTCATTAATAGGAGGAGACTACTTAGCCCAGGCAGTTGGAAAGGCTTGTAAACGCAGAGTACCCAGCCTGCAGTGATGCACTCAAAACCCCGAATCTGCACCAGTTCCCAGGAGTCTTCCGCATTTCACCAACTTTTTCCCGGGCGTTTCCTGTGTGTGCTCGTGGCCACCTCGTGGCCTGGGATTCCAAGACACCAACTATTTTGGATGGGTGACCTAGAAGGGCTAATTAATCATGTCCAGGCACAACCCATCGTTCTGGATGCCACAGGTGCAGGCCCTGGCGGCTAGGTGGTAACAACTCCCCTTTCCCTCCGTGTCACTTCTCCATCCCCATGGGGGGAGCACGGAGGGGCAGACTCCTGGGCCTGACTTCGGGACAGCTCCTGCCCAGGCATTTGACAACCTGGAAGGTGCTTGAGTTGGGGAGAAGGACTGGGACATAGAACTAATGTTTTTGACTTTTGTCCTCTATCTTTTCTTTTTTTAATAAAGATTTATTTATTTATTTGAAAGAGTTACATAGAGAGAGGAGAGGCAGAGAGAGAGAAAGAGAGAGAGAGAGAGAGAGAGAGAGAGAGAGAGAGAGAGTCTTCCATCTGCTGGTTTACTCCCCATTTGGCCGCAACGGCCGGAGCTGTGCTGATCCAAAGCCAGGAGCCAGGAACTTCTTCCAGGCCTCCCACGTGGGTGCAGGGGCCCAAGGACTTGGGCCATCTTCTACTGCTTTCCCAGGCCACAGCAGAGAGCTGGACTGGAAGGGGAACAGCCGGGACTAGAACTGGCACCCATATGGGATGCCGGCACTTCAGGCCAGGGCGTTAACCCACTGTGCCGCAGCACCGGCATCTTGTCCTCTATCCTTGTGAGATTCTGATTTCCAGACCTTTCACCCATGCCTGGCAGAGCAGACAACGGCAGAGAGGCCCTGAGAGCTTCCGCCATCTTCCCCAGCCACCTGCCAATGATGCAACCTGGAAACAGATCTCAGACATGTAGTTCCATGGACGCCCTGGTCCACGCCCCCAAGGCCTCCCAGGAGCCATCCACCCACTCCTAAGTTCATCTATCAGACTTTTCCTGTGTGCTCACCAGGAGTGAGCAAGGCACAGTCTCTAGAACTCTAGAAGAGTTCATGGGCTCTGGTGGAGGCACACCTACCAAGGAATTATAATCTGGCGTGATTAAAGCTGTTATCGATTTATGTACAAACTACCAAATGAAGACAAACGGCAGGCAGATAGCTGAACCGGGGCCAGCTTCACACATAATAAGCAAGCGACACTTGTGTGAAGTCTTAGGGGGGACGTGGGATTCTATTTGCTGGAGATGACGTGGGAGTGTGAGAAGCATTCCAGGCAAGGGAGCATGGGCGAGGGCAGGGGGCCTGGAAGGAGTCCAGCCTGGGAGCAGAGGATGAGCGAGGAGAGGCAGGAGATGAGCCAGAGCCTGCAGACTGGGGTTATCGTGGGCACCTCGTTAGAGCATCGGGGCTTTCTCTCGAGGCAGGATTGGAAACCCAGACGCCTAGCGGGCCATGCAGATGATGTAAACCAGGGCTCCGTGGGAGTCGGGACACTGGAGAAGCCCCAGGCAAGGGTAGCAGCCAAGAGTTGCCAAGCTGGAGTTCAGGCTCATTATAGCCAGGTTTCCACCTGTTAAAAAAACCAAGAAGCTTGGCCGGCGCTGCGGCTCACTAGGCTAATCCTCCGCCTTGCAGTGCCGGCACACCCGGTTCTAGTCCCGGTCGGGGCGCCGGATTCTGTCCCGGTTGCCCCTCTTCCAGGCCAGCTCTCTGCTGTGGCCAGGGAGTGCAGTGGAGGATGGCCCAAGTGCTTGGGCCCTGCGCCCCATGGGAGACCAGGAGAAGTACCTGGCTCCTGCCATCAGATCAGCGTGGTGCGCTGGCTGCAGCGCTCTGGCCGCGGCGGCCATTGGAGGGTGAACCAACGGCAAAAAGGAAGACCTTTCTCTCTGTCTCTCTCTCTCACTGTCCACTCTGCCTGTCAAAAACAAAAAACAAAAAAAAAAACAAGAAGCTGGAGAACCATACACTTATGTGGGTGAGGCCAGTTTCTTAGCTGTTGGCACAGTGATTTCCCAACGTTATGCTGGCCAAGCACAAAGATATCGGATGTCCCTGGAGCCCTTGGGCCTTTAGTCTGACGCATCTAATCGCAGCCTCTGAGCCCGGAACTGGCAGGCAGACTGAACGTTCTGGAAAGGGGTCGTCCCCCCCGCCCCCAGGTCGCCACGTGCTCTTTCTGCCCCCCATGTCTGCCAGCAAGAACCTCTTTCCCCACCTCTGCCCCCTGCTTCTCCCTGGGGGGCTGTGTCTGCACAAGACACGCCCATTCCCTGCCCCTGCCCCCACCCCACCCCCACCCCCAGCCAGCCGGCACCCAGAGGAACTGAAGGAATGAATGACTCGGGCTGCAGAGCCGGCTTCCAGACAAAAGCCCAGTCGTGTTTATTTCACAGGGACAAGCATGATTGGGCTGCATGCTGAACGTGAAAGCTCGCGTGAGGAAAGTACCCGTAACAGCAGAAGTAATTATGTGCTTTCGTCCACAGGGCCCGGGGGAGAGTCACAAAGTGTCTCTGAAAGCCAGTGTCCCTCAAGCTCAGCTGAGAAATCACTGGTTTGTCTTAGCCTCAGAGGGTCTGTCCCCCAGGAGTAGCCAGGGGCTTGCGTCCAGCCCTGCAATCTCTCAGTGAGCTGCTAGGATCCTAGGGGAGGATGAGGATGGCCTCCCAGCCCACCACCCAAGGGGACTGTGGGGGGGGGCATTAAGCTCAGAGGGAAGGCAGGTGCCACTTGGAATCGACAACCCCACTCCTGGGTGGACAGGGACAGGGACAGACTGCTATGTGCACGGCAACAGAACAATCACCACTGAGAACACCTGTCACTCTTCTTAAAGCAACTCCCCAAGGCCTGGTAGGGGGCAGAAGGGAGTAGGATTCTGGAGGCGACAGGTCAGGCCGGGAGCAGACCAGGTTTGCCTGGACAGACTGATGAGAGCTCGTGGCAGGGACCTCCCCCCTGGTCTCTTGGCCGTTACTGGCTTCCCAGTTCCAAGAGGATGGAACTCAAGGTGGGAGAGGGGGCTGGAGCCTGGGTTGGCTGGGGACAAGGATCACAGGCTCCGAGAGCCAATCTCCCAGAAGAGATGAGCCTGGGAGCCGGGGCATCCTGGTGGCTCACTCCCACCTGAAGTCCTGCCCGACTGTCTCATAAAATTTAATATTATAAGGTCTATAAAATTCCCGGAGCTGCTCTATCACTTCAGGATCGATCTGAACGTGAGCTCGCCCTTTCGATTTGCCCAGGCAACGGGGCAGCAGGCTGGACTCGGTTTTTTTCAGGCAAGGGAATCCTTTGGTCTTATTGAAGTAGAAGTGCTTGTCCGTGATGAACCTCTTAATGCCCAGGAAGTCCTGGACGCGCCCCATCTCGCCGGCCGGGTCAGTGATGAGCCGCTCGCCGCTGACGAAGTGGATCTGAGCCAGCGGGAAGTACTGCAGCCAGCTCTGCAGGTGCAGCGCGTACATGCCGATGCGGATGGCGTTCCACGACACGTCCACCAGCCCCAGCGTGCGGTTGCGGAAGGAGAGGCCCTCGAAGGTAGGGATGTCCGGCTTCTTGGACAGCGTCTGGGTGTAGTCGGAGATGGCGCGGGTCACGGGGTTCCGCACCACCACGATGAGCTTGGTGTCCCGCGACATGTTGAAGATGCGGCGGGGGGCCTCTTGAGTGACGAAATAGCTGGGGGTCTTCTCCAGGGTGATCTGGGTGTCCAGGGTCCTGGGCATGAGGCTCCTGGGAAGGGGCCGGGGGAGGCACAAGCAATAAAATCATCAGGTCTCAGGTCTCCGGCACAATGACAGCATCTCCCTCCCCCGGTGACCCCTGGAGATTCCCTCGGCGGCATTTGGGGCTCTTCTGGTCAGGAACCCACTTGAACTCTTTTTAACTCAAAAATATTCTGTAACAGGTTTGCTTTAAGACAGGAAACAACCTAAACACCCATCAGTACAGGTCACACAGATTGTGGAACAGTCAGTGAATGGATCTGTGTGTATGGATACGGAATGATGGAACGTTCCATCATATGGAATATGGAATGTCCAACACATAGTATTTGTGGGTTCTGTACTGGAGTAGTCAACCAGTCAACAATTAAAAAGAGGTTCTTTTTTTTTAAAAGATGTATTTATTTATTTGAAAGTCAGAGTTACACAGAGAGAGGAGAGGCAGAGAGAGAGAGAGAGAGAGAGAGAGGTCTTCCATCCGCTGTTTCACTCCCCAATTGGCCGCAACAGCTAGAGCTGCGCCGATCCAAAGCCAGGAGCCAGGAGCTTCTTCCAGGTCTCCCAGGTGGGTGCAGGGGCCAAGGACTTGTGCCATCTTATACGGCTTTCCAAGGCTGGCCATCTTCTACTGCTTTCCAGAGAGCTGGATCAGAAGAGGAGCAGCCAGGTCTCGAACCAGCGCCTCTACGGGATGCCGGCGCTTCAGGCCAGGGTGTTAACCCGCTGCACCATAGCACCGGCCCCCAAAAAGTTTTAAGTGACTGGTGTTGGGGTGCAGTGGGTTAAGCTGCTGCTGCTGCTGCCTGGTATCCATATCGGAGCATTGGTTTGAGTCCTGGCTGCTCCACTTTTGATCCAGCTCCCTGCTTATGCACCTGGGAAAGCAGCAAAAGAGGTCCCAAGTACTAGGGCACTTGCTAGCCACATAGGGGATCCAAATGGAGTTCCTGGCTCCTGCCCAGCCCTGCCTGTTGTAGCCATTTAGGGAGTGAACCAGTGGATGGAAGACTGATTTCTCTCTCTCCCTCTTTCTCACTCTCTCTTTCAAATAAATAAAACTTTTTTTTTTTTTTTTGACAGGCAGAGGGGACAGTGTGAGAGAGAGACAGAGAGAAAGGTCTTCCTTTGCCGTTGGTTCACCCTCCAATGGCCGCCGCGGCCAGAGCGCTGCGGCCGGCGCACCGCGCTGATCCAAAGCCAGGAGCCAGGTACTTATCCTGGTCTCCCATGGGGTGCAGGGCCCAAGTACTTGGGCCATCCTCCACTGCACTCCCTGGCCACAGCAGAGAGCTGGCCTGGAAGAGGGGCAACCGGGACAGAATCCGGCGCCCCGACCGGGACTGGAACCCAGTGTGCCGGCGCTGCAAGGCAGAGGATTAGCCTAGTGAGCTGCGGCACCGGCCATAAATAAAACTTTAAAAACATTTTTAAAATAGCATCTGTGCTGAACATGTATAGACTTTTTATTTTTGTCATTGTTTCCGAAACAGCATTGCACAAGTGTTTACACAGCACTTACATGGTACCAGGCATTCTCAGTAGTGTGGAGCTGATTTACAGTCTATGGGCTTGGGCATTTGGCCCAGCAGTTAAGTAGCTACTTCGGAAGGCTGCATCCCACATTGGAGTGTTTGACTGGAGTCCCAGCTCATCCCCTTCCCGCTAACGTGCACTCCAGAAGGCAGCAGATGACGGCTCGAATACTTGGGTCCCTTCCACCCACAGGGAGAGCTGAGTGGGTTTCCAGGACCCAGGCTTTAGCCTGGCCCAGCCCCAGCTGTTGTGGGCATTTACTTCCCACTGGGAAGTAAACCAGTGGGGATGGAAGATCTCTTTCTCTTCCAAATGAATAAAAATAACTAAACTTTTAAAAAGTAGCATGAGGGGCAGCGCTGTGGTGCAGCTGGTTAAAATCCCAGCCTGCAGCTGCAGCATCCCATATGGGCGCTGGTTCGAATCCTGGATGCTCCACTTTCCATCCAGCTCCCTGCTAATATGCGTGGGAAAGCAGTAGACGATGGCCCAAGTCCTTGGGCCCCAGCACCTATGTGGGAGACCCAGAAGAAGCTCTTGGCTTTGGATCAGCTCAGCTCCAGCCATTGCAGCCATTTGGGGAGTGAACCAACAGATGGAAGACCTCTCTCTCTCTCTCTCTACCTCTACCTCTACCTCTCTCTGTAACTTCACCTTTCAAAAAATAAAATAAATTTTTTAAAAAATAGAATGATTTGATTCAGTTTAATTATTAAGTTCTCTATAGACAACCAGGATCCTGGTCAGCTCCCACCACCTCTTCTCTTCAAACTCTCTCTCTTTCCCTCTCTCCCTTTCTGTGTGTTACTCTGCCTTTCAAGTAAATAAACAGCCTCCAAAAAATAGAACATTGGAGGACTGTGTAGATTCTATGTGACTACTGTGCCATCTTGTACAGAGGAACAGAGCATCTGTGAATTTTGGTGCCTGTGGGGTGTCCAGGAACCAATCCCTCAAGAATACTGAGGGACGACTGTATTTCTTTTATTTTTCTTAAATATTTTTTAAACATTGAATCGTCAACTTTATTTTATTTTTACTTGAATGGAAGAGAAAGAGAGAGAGAGAGAGAGCGCGAGAGAGAGCTCTTCCATCCACTGGGCCAGGCTGGAACCAGAAGCTGGTAACTCAATCCAGATCTTTCCGGTGTAAGGTAGGTTTCTAATACTCAAGTCATTGCTGTTGCCTACCCGGATGCTCATTAATGGGAAGCCAGGAATGGAGGCAGAGCCTGGACTCCAATCCAGGCAATCCAGCAGGGGATGCAGACCACCCCCCCAAGGCATCTTAGCCACTGCGCCAAATGTCTTCCTCTGATTGATTAGCTTTAAATGGGAAAGGGGCAAGATACAGCATGTATATGGTGGGAAGGATACACAAGAAACCAGTCTACGTAGTTGCTTCTGAGGGGAGAACTTGAGGCGGGTATAGAACTAGGAGATTAGAATCATTTTTTATTATATAACCTTTTATACAGCTTGAAAATGTTAATGTGTATTTTACATATTCAAAATCACAAGGAAGCCATTGAATATTGTTCTGGCAAACGATCTTTCTCCAGAGACATTAAGAAAACCTTCTCTTGGGGAGGGAAAAAAGTTTGTTTTGCAGGAACAGCAACTGTTTTAGAAATGAGTTCTGACATCTTCTGCAGCCTTTGTGTTGGCTTGCAGACGCCCAGAACCCCAGCCTGTTTGAGACCCCAGACAGAGCCAGGGAGCGCAGCCTCTCTCCGCCTGGTTTTCCATCTCTTGGCTCTGCTCACGGTTGTAAGGGATGCAGGTGGGAGGCGGTGACGTCTCCTTCCTGGTGGCAAATCTTTCAGGCCTTGACGGCTCTCAGTCCCTGTTTCTTAATAAAGTTCATTTTTGTTTTTAACCCTTAAACTAGTGTGTGTGTGTGTGTGTATGTGAGTGTGTGTGTTGCCTGCCCATTAGAGCTACATGAGGAACTTTTAAAACTTTTGAATCAATTTGAGAGGCAGAGAGAGAGCGAGAGAGCGAGAGAGCATGAGCGCCAGCTACTGGTTCACTCCTCTAAGCAACAGCCTGGACTGGGCAGAGTCAAAGCCTGGAGTTGAGAACTCAATCCAGGTCTCCCAAGTGGGAGCAGGAACCCAAGTCACTTGAGGCATCGCCACTGCCTCCCAGGGTCAGCCAGGATGATCTCTAATGAGGAATCCTTCCAACCTTTCACCCTTTCTGATTCTTTCTATTTTTTTTAAATTTTATTTATTTGAAAGGCAGAAATACAGAGAGAGGGAGCCATGGGAATGGGGAGAGAAACAGAGAGAGTCAGAGACCTTCCATCCACTGGACCACTCCCCAAATGGCCACAACGGCCAGGGCTAGGCCAGGCCAAAGCTAGAAACCTGGAACTGTGTTTGAGTTTCCCGCATCGTGGACAGGGGCCCAAGCACTTGGGCCGTCTGCAGCTGCTTCCCCAAGCATATTAGCACAGCACTGGATTGGAAGAGGAGCAGCCGCAACTCAAAATCATGCTCATATGGGATGGCAGCACCACAGGCAGCGTCTTCAACTGCTGCACCACAATGCTGGCCCCCATCCTTTCTAATTCTATCCCTGCATTATCAAACAGCAGTGGAGAAAATTGCTGACCCTCACAAATGGATTCTGTACGTATTTATTAATTCTAGCTTTATCTGAGCCCTCAGCACTGCTCATTAATCTTTATATTTTTCTTTCCAGGCCCCCCACCCTTCTTCATGGTAAATGTTCCAGATTATCACCATGAGCTCCCAACCTTACTCCGACTACCCACCCTTGACACACAACTCATCTCTATTATACTAGAAAGATGCGAGCTGACACACCCAGCTCCTTCAACCATCCTCTCCTCCATCTTGAAACTGGTCCTTGCGCCATCCTGAATTCCTCCTGCTAAGTCTTAGAGACCAAGGCATGTGGGGGCGCATCTGCCCACCTGTATCATTTCCCTTCCCCCACTAGTTTTGCTGAAAACCCTCCCTCTAGTCCCTTGAACTTCCAAATTCACTGTCAAACTGAAATGATACAATTGATAATTTGCTTCTGTGCCCAAGGTCTACATGGGCCATAGTAGGTTGAAAGCTTAGTAGCATTTATTAGTACTGAGTAGGTCAGTATTTTTATTAGGATATCATTATAAGCAAACAATCACAAGTGCACCTGAGTAGAATTCTTTAATTTCGGTTTTCGTAGAAATCTGGCTCTACTGCTTTATGACCTTGGCACACATTATAATTAGGAGTCGGACTTAATGATGAGAGTGGATGGAACTCCATATGTTTGTTTAAGGATTTTCACTCTATGGGGTTATTGATGTAAAAGTCTTCCCCAAGACAAAGAACTTTTCACTTGACCAGCCCTTACACAGATTTCTTTGCAATGTTCTGTAATATGTGCAAGAATACCCACAGAGGAATGCAAGATGTATCGATTCCTGAGATTATTTTACTATCAAGCATGAACTTTT